ACACACACACACACACACACACACACACACACACACATTTTATAGTATGATGGTATGGTGCGGCTGACTCTGTTTCGAATCGCTGAAGGACATTTTGAACTTTGCTTGTTTGGCGTCATTTTTAGGGTCTCCACCTACGTGCCTTAATCTTTTCGCGAAATGACGTTAATTTTGCTTTACGCTCTTGAATTTAAAGGTAAAAGGAAAGTTCCCTCCTCGGATTCTCGTTGGTCAAAAGAACTCGATCTGCATTATCCAGATCGGATCTCGTAATATGGTTGGGCTATGCCCATTGTAATTATATTGCAGACCTCTGCTTTGCCTTTCCAGTTTGACCCGGATATCTATTAAAGATTATCGCAATCCGTGCTTCAACAAATACTTTGACTTTGTTATGTCATGTGATGTGAAGTTAGCTTTTTGATTGGTTGTCATTCGTGAACTTCATCAAATCACACGATCGTAACATAGAATATCAAACACTTTTTTAAATACTGATGGAATTTTGAATTGTGCTCGAAAATCACCTTCTGTCCCTCTACGTAAGGAATTCTGGTCTCCTTCAAAATGTATCACACCAATTCGAAATTGGGGATTTGACGAAACTCTCCCCAGTTGAGATGGGTATTACAATTATGGAGGCTGGTTGAGGTGTGTACGTGTGTGTGGAGTGAGGGTGGGGGGGGGGTGTCCAATCAGAGCGGTCGGACATCACCATTTTGTTTGTCCTTCCCACAGGTGTCCGTGCAGTTCAGCAAGGACACAGTCAAGCCTGGCGAAGATGTGGATGTGATTCTGCAGGCTGAGGCAGATTCTTTGGTCTTTCTTCTGTCCAATGACAAGAGCGTGCAACTGTTGCGATCTGGGAACGATATTACGCAAGATGTGGTGAGTGGCGAGTGGGCCGGTCTGTCGGGAAAGGGATGATTAAAAGTATTAATGCTCGTGAAAGATTTGTTTTAATAATGAAGTTTTCATACTCATATTGGGCAAGAGGTAATTAGCTGTTGTTGTTTTTGTTGTTGTTGCTGCTGTTGCTGCTGCTGTTGTTGCTGTGTGTGTGTGTATGTGTGTGTGAGTGTGCGCGCGTATGTGTCTGTACATGCGCGCACGCGTGTGTGTGTGTGGGGTGTGTGTGTG